TTACCAATATGTTCGTTCCAAGTATCACAAACCACAATTAAATCGCCCAGGTAAGTCTCAGTGCCTACAAGCTCTTCTATAACATGACGAATCTTCTGGAAAGTGGCTGGCGAGCTCCTAATGCCAAACTGGCTGAGAGTATATTGAAAATATTTTCCTGGAATCACAAAGGCAGAAACTCTTTGGCCTTGTAAGTTAAGGGAACTTGATAGTGCCCTTTGAAGAAGTAAAATTTTAAGACAAAATTGACCATATCTACGAAATCCATTACGTCACCCTTACGGGGCAGAGAATAAGCATCTGGCACTGTGACTTCATTTACGTTGCAATAATATGTACACATCTGTACTCCTTGAATCAGTTTTTTTTTTTTCACAAGGATGCAAGGCGAGGCCCACTGACGTGAAGACTGTTCCACCGACCCACGTTCTAGTAGAAAATTTACCTATTGATGAAATAGCTTCTGCTTTTCTGGCTTAGCTGTGTAGGGAGACAGTTTAGTAGGTTTATCAGAATTCACATTTACGTTTGTAAACAATGACTGCACATTTTCGTAAAATATCCAAAATTATGATCCGGTCATATGGGCTTCTGTAAGCCCTGACAGAAAAAGGGTTGGGGTTCTGAAGTAGAGCCGAGTTAGTAAGTCGTGTTTGAACCTCTGGAACTTTATGCAAAGAGAATCGTCGTCAGAGTCTGTAGGTCTGTACGAGCAGATGAGTCAAAGAATTGTTTAAACCGATTTGTGTTGTAGATTTTTACCCATTTCAGGTTTGTTGGGTGGCACTGCTACATAATTAAGGTTCAAATTTTTTGGAACACCTGCATATGGCCAGAAAATCTTGCCTTTAAGGTGTGACCAGGTTCCAGTTTCTGGATCAACACTTTTTCTCCCTTCTTAAATGAATGGAATTTGGATGGGATGCATTGTCACAACTCAGTTCACAGACCGGGCCGCGGGGGCATTGACCACTGAAACCCTCCCCAGGTACTCTCCAGGTAATTTCATGGTGTCTTGGACTTTCTTAAGGCTTTCGTTAATTATCTGATATACTAGGTGTAGTCTTGGTTTTGGATCGTATTCAGTCTTCATAGAATCTTCTCCTAGCCATTCATTCTTAAGTGCTTCCAGAGATCCCCTTACTCAATGACCATACATCAATTTGAACAGACTGTACACAGAGGTAAAGATTTTTCCCAGTCTGTAGGAAAATGCAAACAATGGTTTTCAAAGTTTGGTGGAACCTTTCTAACGCTCCTTGAAATTGAGACTGATAGGGTGAGGAAAGATTTTGTCTAATCAGCTCAACACTTCTCTAAATGCTTTAGCAGTAAAGTTAGTATCTTGATCACTTTGAATGTTCTGTGGAATTCCTAATTTGGATAGAAATCTAATGAGGGCTTAAAAAAATGCCTAAATATTAATACTACGTATGAACACTGCCTCAGGATATCTGGTCACTTTATTACCTCATTTGTCCGTAAGTAAAGGTCTCGCACAGTTTTTGATCAAGTCTGCAAAAGCTTCTCCATCAAATGGTATGGGACAGTGTGACACAGGTTTGATGTAATGTCCGGTTTTCTCCACTTGCTGACATTCACGGCAGGACTTTATGTAGCTTCAGACGTCTCGTTTTAAATCTGGCTAATCAAAATGTTTACTAATATAACAGATAGTCTTAGTTACAGCCAAATATCCCCCATGGGTAAATTATTGGCAACCCTCAAAACCTGGAACTTAAACTTTTCGGGCACAACTAACCTATCAGATGTGGACATCCCCTTACCTCCTTACCAGTAGGTTTGCTTATTAAAGTACCCCTTTTAAAAGTTTATAGTGTATTTAGTAGGAGACACAGCGTCTGCTTCAGAAACCGCCAGTTCTACAGCTCTTCCTTGAAGATCGTTCCGTCCAGCAGAGAGTCGGAAGCATCTGGCAATCCTTCTTCCCAGGTACAGGAAGGCTTAGCGAAGGTGCTTTCATTTTATTTTCGAGGCCTTGGCCAGATGCCAAAGTAAAATAACGTGTCCATCCCAACCGTTGAGTCTCCCGGGTAAGATCAGCATTTTTACCTGACTTTTCCTAGGTCATTGCCCGAGTTATGGCCATAACTGGAGCAGGAGCAGAGCTTTCCTTATTCACTATAAGCTGGGGACAGGATCTGAAATACATTATATCGTTATCAAATAAAAGTAGTGCCTCTTTCACTCAATACGCCTACAGTTAAATAACCTGAAAAGACTGCCCTCCCCATAAGCTTCTAATAGAACAGAACTGTGTAAGGAAGACTCATTAGAAATTGGGAGTAATCCCTCTTGTACAAGGGAGTAGGCACCTGTATCCCAGAAATTTGCCACCTATATTGGAAAATCAGTCTTCTTTATAGATATCTTACTGCTACTATAGAATGGGGCCATACATGCATCCACCTTGCATTTTTTAGTGGTGATACTTAGCAGGGGAGCAATATTTCCCATAGGTTGCTGAAAACCAGATTTATTCGATTTATCACTTGCTGAAGACCATTTTTGGCGTTTGAAATAGGGCTTACGATAGTAGCGACATAATGATACAGGCACGGGAACCATGTATTGTGCACCTTCTTGGTCTTGAGGTGTGCGTCGTGGCTCACTACCAGCTTCAGTCCTCAAACCACTGGAAGTCTTTCTCTGATGTCTTTTGTCCATAAAATGCTGGTAGGAAGAAACTTCAGCAAATCTTTCATTTAGGAACCGATTAACTGTAAAGGTATCTGCTAACCTGGCTGCTTCCATGGCATTTACGAATGAATTATCTGAGTGAATAATCTAGGTCGGCCCTCATCTCTTGACCAACAGACCCAAGAAGATTGTCGAGAAGACTGACTTGCACCAACTTGTTAAAGTTAGAAACACCAAATGCCTTATACCACTGGTAAAGGTCATTGACTGGAGCCTAAAAAAGTTTACGCAAGACTGCTAACGTTGTCGCTTGCTCATCTTTAAGTCTCGTCGACAAATGGCAGGTATACAATGATATGCACATAACACTGTAGTCTTCACAAAGCTGTAATTAGAGATACCATGAAAACCATACAACGCCGTATGAACAAGTGCTGCCCAACGCTCGAATGGCCATTGCAGAGCTCGAGCCTGGTTTTCGAACAATTTGTAAACAAGAACACCGACTTCTGTATATTAAAATTATCACAGGTACGACGGTATCATCTTATCTTCGCTGTCATATTCTTCCTTTGGAAAAGAATGCTGTCCCTAGTAAGCTCAAATGTAATTTTCGCCAATTCAAGAGCCAACAAAGCAGATTGACCCTGATGTAGACCTGGTCTACCATTCCTTTCTGCCGATAGGGAAGAGGGTGTCAGGCAGATGTTCATGAGTATGGTCAGTACCATTATGAGCAAGAGACCACAGAGGGGAGAAGACTAACACGAGCTCTTGAAGCAGCCGATACACCAAAGTGAAACACAATACTGTATGATTCTGACCATAGTTTATTACATTTAACTTACCATGCTGTGCATCTATTAAAGTAAGTCAATGTTCAATGCCAAATGCAGCATTGTAGAAACAGTTTAGGCAAGTTTTGCGAAGCATATGCCATCACCAAACACCTAACTCATGTGGGCGGCATTATCTAGTTGGCATTATAACAAGCACTGCCCTGTCTCAATACGTTAAACATAAAGTAGCAGTAACAAATATTAACGTATGCAAACCAGCAATGTAAGGAAGCAACAATCCAATGCAGAGAAAACTATGGCTTCAGGACAGGCACCCCATATTACGAACACAGGAAGCAATTCAAGGCCTGTTACACTTAACCATATCCAAAGTCAGTAATACAGCGAGCAACATGGCAATAAAAGGGTAAGCCAAAAGCAGTATGATTTTTTGTTTGACTTGTATATTCTTTCACCAGTGTATAATGATAAAACAGAGGACAGAGACACTCATAAGAGTGAACTGAACCAGCATAAGTGAGAGTCTGCCTCTTCAGGCAGGTGTAACACCATCTTCACTGTGGAGTTGGTTCTCACCTAATAGGTGGGTCAAACTGGGCAATTAATACAGTAGTAGGACCCCAGAACTGCTCTACTCTGAACTTCTGATTTGATGGTTGGGAGGAAATGTGTGGTATGTTACGAGTATATTACAATTTATTGGACGTATGTCACACTCCCATATAGCTGCCTTCCCGACCAGCGAGCAGATGCTAAGGATTTAGTGATCAATAGGGTACCCATCATTAATCAGTACCTCGGGTCATTGGCCAGTCACAGACAAGCCCACCAAAGCTGAAGCAATGTGGTTCACTGACAGACTTGCCTGGGCTGCTGGTTGAGCATGGTGGACTCTCTCTGGCTTCTGCTTTTGGTATTTTTGTCACTGTGGTGTACACTAATTATTCCACCACTGTATATAGTGTGCATAAGTAAAAACTGGCAATTTGTATCTGGTGAAGGAAAATGCTAGCCATATACTATTGTTGAGTTTGTTTTTGCTCTTTAAATTCCATTATGACCAGGTTCACAGGCCATACTATACTTGTGTTCATAATAGCATGCCAATAGGTGTGGCGGACGTTGAATAAATAGAACATATTTGGCGCACTTAACATTTATTTAGCGTCTGATGAATGAGAGGTATTTAAAAATGATCAAAGAATATGAGGGGTAAATCTAGTTTCCAATTTAGTGTTCTTCCTTTATGGGAATAAAAATTTTAATTTTATATTTTTTTTTAGTTTATTTGGGAAATGGAAACAAACATTGACTTATGTCACACAAGTGGTTTGTGACGCAGATCTCAGTCGTAAACATCTCAATAATTTTCTCTCAACATGTCCACGGATAATGACTAAACTTGAGGTGGCAATATAGCATTCGCCTCCAGGTTTAAGCACACATTACAGTTATTCTAAAATTATTATTTTATAATTTTTTCCATGATATTAAATGGCTTTATCTTTTCAGAATTGGATAATAGCTGGGTGTCCCACATACTTCAGATTCGGTGCATTCCAGTTCTTGCCTGCATTTCTGACGACAGTGCTGCGTAAAGCATCTCAGGTGTCTTGCAGGCCACTTCATCACCTCAGCTGGAGTGTCCACCTTACTGATCTTCCTCCCGTGGACATGCCTGACCTGCTTCCAAACACTGATGAAGACGATTTGGAATCTTTGGATGAGATCAACCCACAGGGCATTAAGGATGACACAACGGTGTCAGGTATTACTAAGGAAAATAGAGAACCCAGAACAGAGCATGGCAAAAGCACCAAGGCAGTTAATAAGACTGATGCTGAGCTGTTGTATGAGGCTGACTCTTTACAAGAAACTCATGGGGAAGTTATCGGCTTGAACACTAAAGATTCCATAATGAAGTGGCATGAACTTGGCCGATCTGGACTATCTGTCTCGGGAATTTGGCTCGTTGGCGCTTCCTGGAACTCGGCTAGGTAATTATTATATTTTTAAGGGAGAGTGTTGAACTCGTATGGGTCATATGACACCTTATGGTAATAGGAATCAGTCTCAATTTTATCCAGATTTTATCTAAGTAGAAAGAGGATAGCTCCAATTCTTCGACTTACAATCCCTCACAAGCATCAGAAATTCTTATACGCCCTGTTGTGACCCCCAAACTGGGGTCACAACAGGGCGTATAAATATTTCTGAAGTACTGAATAATAATAATAATAGTAATAATAATAATAATAATAATAATAATAATAATGATAATAATAATTTATGAAGAAGTAATAATAATATTTTATTTTCAAAGAAGATATATTTAATACCAAGGCATTACATAGAAATGTTCATATTTATCCAATGTATTTTATCTCTTTGTTGCATAATATCGCTTTTCTTGTTTTTTTCCAGTAATGAACTTGAGGAGCCATGGTCTCAAGAACTAATGGAACAGTTGCCTATACTGAACATGGTTCCTGTAGTTTGCCTGGACAATGGTTCATATACAGCCAGGAGACCTACATCCTTGTGTACTACCGCTCGCTCATTCTCTCTCTCTCACCCACCAACTTCTGCAGTGGAGGACCCATGTGATGTAGACAACTTAAAACAAACTGATTTTGCACGAGTTACTGACGTTGCACCAACACTTGCAACAACATCACGTGATGTTCCAGGAATCTCGGAAGTACATACTGCTAATTTGTCAGATGATTTGCTAAAACAGAGTGATCATCTTTCTCTAGATAGCTATTATGGAGATGAAATGACAGCAAGTAGCAGAAGTGAAATGCCATCCTCAACAAGGTCGAAATACTATGATTGTCCTGTGTATGAAGGAGGACCTGACAGCAGTCCCAGACCACCGGTTCTAGCTATTTCTCTTCCAGCAGGCCCAAAAGGACCAAATTACTGGGTACAAAGACGAGTAGCAATGTACTTGAGCAATCATTAAATAAACTATCAAAATATATTTATGCATAACAAAGACGATCATTTAATAAAAGTAAACTTAAGTGAAACATTTCCTTGTTTTGTAGGAAGACATTTTGGTATAATAGATGATTCGTTGTATATATTTCATAGTGTAACCAATATGCCAGTAGGGAATGAAGGTTTCACTGTGTAGGCCCTTCAAGAGATGCTTTTTACAAGAAGTTAGACCAGTTCTCTCAATTTTTAGATCTAATCTCATTGCTTCTTTTTTTCTCAGTGCTTTATGAGCAGAATGTCATACAGCACCTTGGGTCACTTTACTAAATCGTGCTAAAGCAGCTCTGCACAATGAAACTAGTGACATATAATATAGGTCTGTAGGACCCACACTAGTTTAGTGTTCGCTTGTAATATTAAAATTTGTGCTGCATAAATTAGTGTTTTCCTAACATATTTTTCGGTAATAACTGCCATTCTTTTTATCTCAGTCGTGATCTGTACTTAGGTCAGTGGTCAATGGTGACCTGTACATAGCTCAGTGGTGATCTGAACTTAGCTCTGTAACGATGTGTCTAGTATACTGTCTGTGAATCTGAATCAAGATGTCCTCCACTGAGCAACTTTACTAGCAGCTTAAGGAGGAGCTTAGGGTAGCTAAGCTCGAGATACAGCGATTGACAGAAGAAAACAGAGATTCATAGTAATCCTTCTGCAGTGAGTCCTCTGGTCAGAAGAGGAACCTGGTCATGGCTGGGCAACATGGGATGAAGCCGAGGATCAAGAAGATGAAGTAGTGACAGAAACAACGAAGAACCAGAATACTGTGGAAAATTCGAACGAATGTGGGTTGTCTACTTTGAATGTCACAACGAGCCCCAAGGAAGCATGGCAGACAAGACTGAGTTGACTTCCCTTGAAACCCCAGAAAAGACCATTCCAATGAATGTCATCCCAACAAAGACCATCGAAAAACTCTGCCAGTTAAGGTTAGAACATTGTTTTTGCTGAGAACAGTCAAGCTAAGTTTATAGATAGGGTTTTGTGTCATAGGGATAGAAAGAGGAGGCAGAGGGTATGTTTTCATGGGACTGGGATGGAGGATATTGTTACCCACCTAGACATCATGAAGGTAATGGGAGCAATCGTATTATGTGGCTCAGTGCTGAAGGCAAATATGTTGGCAGACGTAGGAGTCAGGACCTGATTAGCAAGTATAGGACAGCAATAGAGAAAATTAGGAAGAAGGGTGGGAAACCCTGTGATATGCTGCATTTCTCCGAGGAGAGGCATTGGAAATGAATGGTTATCCAGGGCAATTGGTGTCAGTTGCTGGTTGGACAAACGCTGTAAGGAAAATGCAAAAATATTCATTGATAACTGGGACCTTTTCTATGGAAGAAATGACATGTATGCCAGGGATGGAGCTCATTTATCTAGTTTTAAGGGGAGGAGACCCTGGCCAGTGCAGTGGAGGGAGCTGTTAGGTCTTTAAACTAGGAATAATTAGTGGTATGGGTTTTTGTGAGAAAGCAATGAATTGTCAGCGCAGTGATAGTGTGGGTTTTAGGGAAAGCAGTTATAGGCAGAATGAGGTAGAGATATTCGTGACAAGGTGACGAGGACAGTAACCGAGATAATGAAAAAGCAGAAATGAGCAGGAAGAGAAAAGAGAAGAGAGGGTTTCTAAATAATAAGAAGGATGAATTGAGATTACTGCAAGTGCGGGTTAACAATGATTTATTTGCATAACTTAGACGTGGTTTAATATGAAAACTCGGGACATGCCTGCTGAATGTTACATTCAAGGTTTTAAATTGTTCCAAGTAGACAGAATTATCAGGAAGGGGGATGGGGTGACACCTTATGTCTGAGATCACTTAAACTGTTGCATAAAAATGGTTATAAAGTTTGAAATAACACATACTGAGATAAACGTAGTTAATTCTAGAGGACTAAACTTTAGTCACATTGATTGGGATTCATTGACTGAAAATTTAGTCTAAAGACTTTTTAGAGGTAGTTCAGGATTGTTTTTTGAAGCAGCTTATACAGAGCCTACAAAGGGGAAATAACCTGCTTGAGTTGGTTCTGGCAAACAAAGAAACCCTCATGATGAATGGTTTTGAAAACCGACAAGTTGAAGATGAAGCCACTGTGTGGCGAAACGTTTCCTTTGTAAAGATTCCCAAATATTGCATAAGTGTCTTAATCTTCAAAGAAACCCTTGTTTATAATTTAGAAATTACAAAGGAACTTGGTGCGAGCATCCACAAACCAAATGCCTTTAACATTGAATGGAATTATAATAGTAGTGATAGCCAGGTTAGGTACATGGATAGACCTTCTGCTTGAAGGATAGGAGTAGGAAACAGAGGGTTTGCTTTCCTAGGGCTGGGATAGAGGATACTGTTAGCTGGCTTGACAACATCATAAATGGTAATGGGATCAATCTTATTACCTGCCTCAGTGTTGGAGGCAATGATGTACGGAAGCATAGAAGTGAGGATTTAGTTAGATGGTACAGGACAGCAATAGACATAATTAGAAAGAAGGGGGATGCCCTGTTATATGTGGCATTTTGCCAAGAAGGGGTGTTTGAAATGAATGGTTGACCAGAGAATTGGTATTAATTGTTGGCTGGACAAACACTGTAAGGATAATGCAGTACAATTCATCGACAACTGGGACCACTTCTATGGCCAAAATGACATGTATGGGAGGGAGGGGGTTCTCTTATCCAGGGCAGGTGTGGGTTTTCTTGCTAGTTCAGTTGAGGGTGTTGTTAGGATTTTAAACTAGGACTAGTTAGAGGTATGGGTTTAGAAATGGAAAATAACAAGTGTCGAAATATGGATTTAGGCTTTAAAATCATAAATCTTAACGATAACAAGGACAGTAATAGGTATAGTGGAATAACAGAAAGGAGCAGGAAGGGTAAAGAGAAAGGAGGGTTCTTAAAAATATATTACACAAATAGTCATAGTGCTAGGAATAAGATGGACCAGTTGATGTTAGTTGCTAGTGCAGTTAACATTGATGTATTTGCCATAACTGAGACGTGGTTTAATTTGAAAAGTCAGGACATGCCTGCAGAATATCACATTCAGGGTTTTAAATTGTTGCAAGTAGACAGAAGTATCGGAAAGGGGGGTGGGGTGGCACTGTATGTCCGAGATGGCTTGAACTGTTGCGTAAAAACAGAGTGATAGATAGAGACCAAGGGAGACTACTATGGGAGGAATTGTTAAGGCCACAAGGCACGATAACACAGTAATTCTAGGAGAATTTAACTTTAGTCAGATTGATTGGAATTTCTTGACTGAGAATTTAGAATATAATGACTACTTAGAAGTAGTTCAGGATTGTTTTTTGAAACAGTTTGTGACAGAACCTGCTTGACTTGGTTCTGGCAAACAAGGAAACCATTGTTAATATTTTAGATATTACAGAGGAACTCAGCACAAGCAATCACAAATTAATTACCTTCAGAATTGAATGGAAGTATGTTAGTAAAGATAACTCAGTAGCAGTCCCAGATTTTTGCTTAGCAGATTACATTAGGCTTAGAGAACACTTATCATCTGTGAACTAGGGTAACGAAGAGAGCTATCAGTATGACAGCTTTCTTAACATAATACATGCTGCCCTAAGAACATTTATCCCGTAAAAAAAAATAGATCGAACAGAAATGACCCAAAATGGATGACTAATAGGCTAAAATATCATTTAGGACATAAAAGGGAATTTATAGGCGCATCAAAAAAGGTGAGGGTCATCTTATGAATCAGTATAATGATATTAAGAGGGACATTAAAAGGGGGATAAAAAAAAGCCCAGGTTTGTAGAACAAAAGTTAGAGTTAAGATAGGTCCCCTTAAAAATACCTGTGGCATCTTACTGACAAGGAGAATGAAATGTGCTCTATTTTTAACAATTACTTTCCCTCGTTATCACTCAGGAAGACACTAATAATATCCCAGTAATTAATTTTTATAGTGGGCCTGAAGATGGTAATTATGCAATATCACAGTCGCTAGCGGAATGGTTATCAAACAGATCGACCGATTGAAGCAAAATAAATCCCCGGGTGTAATGTCTGATATGTGGAAGATGGCTAATGTAATTCCTATTTTTAAAGCAGGGGACAAGCCGTTACAGTCAAATTACCTCCCAGTAAGCCTGACCTCAATTGTAGGCAAATTACTAGAGCCAATTATAGCTGATATTATGAGAAGCCATCTGGAAAAGGGTAACTTGATTAATGATACTAAGTGTGGATTCACGAGGGGCTGTTCTTGCCTAACTAATTTCTTAACCTTCTTCGGTAAAGCTTTTGAGGCCATTGATCATGATAAAGAATTTGATATTGTTTATTTAGATTTTAGTAAGGCTTTTGATAGAATACCGCACCAGAGACTGTTAAAGAAAGTGGGAGCTCATGACATTGGAGGAAAAGTGCTGTCATGGATAGAGTCATGGTTCACTAACAGGAAGCAGAGAGTATGGGGTTAAATCCCAGTGGGGATCTATAACTAGTGGCATTCCACAGGGATCAGTCTTAGGCCCTTTGTTGTTTATAATATATACCATTGACCTTGATGAGGGAATTACTAGTGATATGAGCAAATTCGCTGATGACACATAGATAGGTAGGATAATTGATTCAAACGAAGATGTCACGGAACTTCAAGAGGGTTTAGACAAACTCAATTCCTGGTCAGAAAAGTGGCAGATGCAGTTCAGTGTAGATAAATGCAAGGCTTTGAAGTTCGGGACTGTCCATAACCCTAGTACTTATGAGTCAAATAACATAGAACATAGCTATACAGATTGCGAAAAGGACTTGGGGGTTATGGTAAACATCAACCAAGACAGCAGTGTCTTCCCTGACCCTCTTGTCCTCCAGTGTCGTCAGGCCGATTTCCCTTAACCTCTTTTCATAGGACATTCCCCTTAGCTCTGGAACTAGCCTTGTTGCAAACCTTTGCACTTTCTCTAATTTATTGATATGTTTGACCAGGTGTGGGTTCCAAACTGGTGCTGTGTACTCCAGTATGGGCCTGACATACACAGTGTATAAAGTCTTGAACGATTCCTTACTGAGGTACCGGAACACTATTCTCAGGTTTGCCAGGCACCCATATGCTGCAGCAGTTATCTGATTAATGTGTGCTTCTGGCGACATACTCGGTATTATACTCACTCCTAGATCTTTCTCCTTGAGTGAGGCTTGCAGTAATTGACCTCCTAGCCTATACTCTGTCTGTGGTCTTCTTTTCTCTTCTCCGATCTTCATGACTTTGCATTTGGCAGGGTTAAATTCTAGGAGCCAGTTGCTGGACCATGCATCCAGCCTGTTCAGTCTCTTTGTAGA